TGGCCATGCATTTGGCAGACTGTCTTGAACGCTTTGGGCCGGTACGTGCGTGGTGGTCATTTCCTTTCGAGCGTTTGATGGGAAGAATACTCAAAGGTTGTCACAACAATCATATAGGTATGTCCTCACAACTTCTCTCAAAGTCACGTTGAAAAATAATGATTTACTGATCTGTGCGTCATCAAATTTGTTTCCAGGCGAACTCGAGATCACGTTCATGAAAAATTTCTGCCGTGCTGGAAATTTGTCGGCTTTACTTGAGGATAATCAACTGCCCGAAGCACTTGAACCATACGCCTCACGGCTGGAGTCACTTTACAATCCTCCTCCGCCAGCCAAGAAGAAACTTTCCAACTCGAAGCTTGAACCTATTGAACACTCTGTTCTTCTTCTTCTTTTAGATCATTTGAATAAGGCAAAAATAGACGGGTGCACCTGGGTCCTCCCAAATCAGTGGTGCCTGGATTCAAAAACAAAAACAGCCCTTACACATCCATTAACCGCTCGTGCATTCTTTTACAAGCAGGTTGAACACTTGGATGTGCAGTTCTCGACTTTCACATCAAATCCAAACAACAGCTTCATTACATTCAATTGCAAGTTGAAGAAGGAGCGTATGTTTGGTCGAATATTTTCGATCTTCATGCACCGTCGCACACCGAAACCTTCTCTCAACCTGATGGACACCTGGATTTATGTGCAAAGCTTTCCACCCGTCCCACTGCACATGCACAACCCAATGACACAAGTAGACACAACCGATGTTCAAGTACATCTGTGTGCTTGGGGTCCAACTGAGAATCATGTGATCAATCTAAAAGATGTGATAGCACACTGCTCTTGGATCATGTACAAGCCTTGCGAGCTTCACAAGAATCTAAATATTTCAACTGTTGCTCTCGTATCCATGGAGCGATGAACTCAACACATCTCATGCAAATTATATAGTCAAGACTTTTAAAGGAGATCCTTATTTCATCTTGCATATGCTTTGTGTGCGAATTGAATGAAAAGAATGTAGATTGTTTTCTTTTACCTACAAATGTTACTACTGTCTCATATTTCATATTGTTTGTGTGCGAATCAAATGAAAAGAATGTAGATCGGTTTCTTTTACCTACAAATGTTACTGTTTCATCTTTCATATTGTTTGTGTGCGAATCAAATGAAAAGGAATATAGATTGAATCATGTGAAATGTGACTGCTCTTTCATCTTTCATATCATTTGGGTGAAAATGTGCGAATCAAATGAAAAATAATATAGATTGGATTCTTTTACCCACAAATGTGACCACTTTGTACATGTTTCAGAATGATCTCAATCAATAAGGACATGTGAATTTCAATTGATTTTACTGGCTTGCAGTTTGAAGTACCGAAAGATATAAAATACATTGTAAGTTTGATAGTGTGATCACACCCTCTACCATCCCTACTATAAGTGCCAGGCCTAGTCTTTAAAATATAACACAATGATACGGTCAAAACAAATTGTTCAGAGCTGCAAGGGCTGTATGTAGGCCCCGAGATTCAACAATCTCCAACTGACAGCGAGCTAGAGGAGAGAGGGAGGATAACCAATCCGCTGAGTAGCAATCCACCGGTAATCCTAGTGGTGCTTCAAGCCTACTCATAGGGCCATCTTCACTTCGAATGCGTCTTCGGGGGCGACGACCCCTTTGACCAGGCGAGGTACCCGGAATGCAATTGTCGTAGTGTGATTTCAGTTCGTCGATTCGGCTACAAACCAATTGTAGGTCAGCGCTGCGCCACTCGAGCCTTCGCACACGCAATGGTCTGTTGCCATTGGACTGTGATGGCCCGGTGGATGAGCCGCCTTCGTCGTCGGTCTCGTCGTCGCTACAAACATGTGGGATTATACGAGAAAGTGACCACAAGGTTGTCTCCTGAAGAACAACACGCTCCCGCAACGACTTTAACTGGAGTCCCAGGACCCAACCAATCAGCTAATCAAATATACCAACAATACTTTGAAAATTACTTACATGCCTTAGCCTGGAAGTGCGTCTGACTTCATTTGCCGCCTTCAATTTACGTGCGTTGTCCCATTTCTCTCGAGTGAACCTGTCACAAGAAGCAGTATACATAAACATATTGTTAGAAAACTTGAGCGGGAAGCAGAAAAACGCAAATGTGACAGAAACACACACAAACCTTTTCATAAGTGTTTGTATATTGGATTTCATAGATTTCTTGATTAACGCCATTCCTTCATCGCCAAGGGAAATGCCGCTGTACTCCCCACATTCCACAAGTTTTACAAAGATCTTCAAGGCGAGATCCCAGAGCCACTTATTATCTTTTGAAGAAAGAGAACGTGAGAAGTCGGGACGAAAACTTGAAACACCAACAGCCTTCATCATCTGCCACATCACCGACAGCTGTTGAGGGCTAGAATTGGCGTGGCCAGGACCATCCACATATGGAAAGGCAGGATCGCGCCCTTCAGTGATTGAGGGCAACAAATCCATATTTACGTAGAATTCAAACTCGTCGATTGCTTGCTGAGACATCCAGGCTTCCTTATCTTCCGCGCTGGCAGGCTTGAGTAAGATCTTCTCGCCACTTGGCTGGCCTACAAGTGTTTCGATGTGGAAGCGCATACGAGCCTATTTGAAAAATACAATGTCAGTACTTTCCCATTCGGCATGTTCGCATAAATGAGCGTTAAATTGATGACTAACTGCTATCCTCCCACCACAGGTCGTTGTGTCTGAGGGATCTGTCGCGCGCTCGCCGAGCAACTTCTGAACAACCGAAGATAACGTTTTTACTTCATCTTCAAGATCTTGTACTCTCTTGTTTGTTTCTGTCAAAGCTGAATTGAGCTGTGTAATAGTGATGGCTTGCTGTGCGACAATATTTGTCAATGAAGCTAAATTTATCGGCTCACTATCACCAGTGGGTACGTTTTGACCTTCAGCGGCCGATGCTTGAGCATCTTCGGTGGTTGAATCGTGGTGAGAGAAGGCGTTTTGATAATCTGAGGCTTCGAAAGCTATGCCGTCATCTTCAAAAAATATGGTGTCGTCTTGATAAGATACCGCCTTCTCCTTCCCTTTGGCAGATTTTGCTTGACTTGGTTGATGATTTGGCTGTTGTATAGGAGGATTAGGTTGAGTGCGGCTGACACTGGGAAGTCCAACAGGAGAATTGGCGGCGTTGGTCTCAATATCTAGATTAGTCAAGAAGAAAATTTCATCATTAACGCTCGACGGAAAGCAGTCCAATATTACAACAATTTTTGAAATAACTTACCATGTAGCTGTCCCAAAGGAGCAGATTGGGGCTCCGATGCAGAGATTCCCGGTAAAAAGGCTGGATAGAAAGCGTGTATTAAGCAATTCGGAAATTTGAACCACGACGAATGTATTTTTCGTTGATAAACTTACCGGGTAGCTGTTCCACAGGACTGGATTGTGGAGCTGATTTGTAGAATTCCGGTAATTCAACTACATAGGGAAAAAAACAATTGAGCATTTGTCAATAAATTATGTCAATTTTCAACATGAGGATGAGACTGGTGACAAACGTAAGTCTTGATGTACTTTACAGCAGTTGACCAACTGCTCTTTATTCATCCCCCTCGTATCCAGGCCGATGTTTTGAAGCATTCCGACCAGTTGAGAATCGGGGAAGACTGAGTAATTGATTTCGAATTCTTTCAGATGATTGAATGGTTCAGGACAAGGAGGATCATCAGTGATACTCTTCTTGTTGTTTCTTTTCGTCGTAGTTTTTCCGCGACTTTTTTTATCACTTGAGGAGAGGCGAGGTTTTTTAGGGTTGATACGCCGACGTAGTAAGTCAAGTATCTGTTCACGCGAAGTTAACTTTCCAACAGATACATCAGCCTTTTTGATCAGTGTATCATTTTTTGGGCCGGTCCCTGAACCATCGGTGCATTCTTCAAAAAAATGAAGTCAGCTGTTGTAGTTTAATGTTCTGCTGTCTGTCAAAATTGAAGTAAGGCTTACCTAAATTTACTTCGCTGGGCTTCTTTCTCTTCTTGCTCTTGTCGGTTTTTTTATCCACTTGTGCTTGACCCACATTCTGCTGATTGCTGTCTACAAGCGCAATTGGAGTGATGGTCTTACGTAGACTTCGACGAGTAGGCTTCGAATTGGATGTTGACGGTGTATCACCCATGTTTCTTAAATTTTGAGACCTGCTCTTAGATCAGAACCAACACGGTGCGGGTAGGGAAAATGCCAAAAAAAGAACGAGCAATCCGAAACGAGAGAAAGAGTGTTGAAATGGACTTGTGAGAACAGTTGATCAATAAGGAAAACTGCTAATATACGGAATGATCACTTTTTCTATGGAAGTTTGTGGTGGATGTAAAAAGATAATTATCAAATGTTATTACGATCAGAAATGAGAGAAAATTCACACAAACAAAGATGGAGAGGGAATGAACGATGAAGAACAACTTAGCTTATAATCTTTTCGAATGGCCCCAGTGGATCGTTTTCTAATGTTCTTTGTCTTTGTCAAACAGGACATTCCTTTCAAAATCGTCAGCTTGTTACTAATTTATGTACAAGTAAGCCGGTCCCATCTCTAGAAGACAAGTTGATCATGTCAGTGTTACCTTTCTGTGGGGAGCAAAGATCATTTGTTTCTTTCGAACTAATTTTGGTGGAAACGATCAAAGAACAAAAGACTTGCGCTATGGATACACTCTTCGGGTCAGTTAAGATTATGGGGTTTTGGAACAAAGTACACATCTGACCCACTGACTTCACAATTCTACCACAACGTCATTCAACATTTAGAAAAACCAGGGAGTGCTACTTTGCATGATTCTAGACTTGGCACAACTATTGACAAACATTTTCCAAAACGGAAATGTTGTGTTTGACTTCAACTCACAAAACAAAAAATAACCATACGTCGTCCTTGATTGCCTACGTTATAACATGCCCAGATAACTGAAGTTGCCATAGAGGCAAACAGATTCATAAGTATCATAATCCGCTGGTCAATGAATACTTTTCTATTCACAAATAGACATTGTACAAATCATCTCACATGTGCTCATGAGGTTATATGGTATCTCAACTTGGAAATATTGATGCTGTTTTTGTTCACGAGTGCTCACAAGTGGAAACAGTAAAGTCTATTACCAGAGATTGATCGGAACAACATTGATATCTACCAAGATGAATGTTACAACACTGTGGCGTGAAACTAACAACTTCCCAAAGATACATCACTTCCACCGCTCGATTCATCTTCGTCTTGATCATTTTCACCGGCTTCAGACAGTCCATAATCACCATCTCCCTCCGAAAGGATGTGTACCAGCGCCTTATTACATGCTTCAATCGTGTCATTAGCCTTTCTCAATTCGGAATTCAACTTATTCACCTCCTCATTAAGTGATGTGATATCAGTTTGAACTTTTTCTTCAAGCTTTTTGATTCGTCCATAAGCTTTGTTCTCAAAGTTCGTCATTCGATCTTGAAGAGTCTTCCAATCACTGGTAATGAGTTCAACACTTGACTCAAGCTTCTTGATTTGTCCATAACCGTTGTTCTCAAACTTTGTCATTTGATCTTGAAGAGTCTTCCAATCACTCGTAACCATTTCAACACTAGACATACGCTCCTCAAGTGCAAAAACTGCATACGAATCTGTTAGCTCCCTGAAGATCAGTAATTAAAGATTGATGATGGGGCATACTTTGATCCATTTTTCGTCTTTCATCTTGAAAAACCTCGGCCCCATCTCTCTTCTTTTCAGCAACTGGGAAAACACCGTTCAATTCTTCCACCCTTGACCTATTTGGTGATATAGGAGCAATGTCTCGACCATTGACTGAAAGCGGAAGAAGGTCAGGAGGTTCAAACGAGGGAATTTAGAATGTGGACTGTGTACATACCAACGTTTTCAATTTCAAACCAGTCCTTATCGGCAAATGTTATGAGATCGAGATCTTGTTTGTTGGTGCTGTCATTCTGTCCTTCAACCAAGGTGTGATCGATATAGTTGATAGGTACATCTTTCTCAGTTTTGAATAAGGTTGGCGTGACTTTTGGCATGGGTGATTCGAGTGAAGGAACAAATGTTGTGATTGTAGTGCCTTGTTTGCTTGATGGAGTAGGCGGTCTTCGTACTTTTTGGTTCACCTTTTGATTGCCTCGAGTAGTCCCACCAATGACTAGATGTTCGTCTTGTGCTCCGCCTTCCGACTGTAAGAAGAAAGTGCATTGTTGAAAGCAAGTACATTTCAAGAGGATGAATAAGCAAGCCACAACCACAGATCAACTTACCAGCATGAGTTTCTTGGGTTCAACCAAAGGCGTCTTTGAGGAGTGATCCGGATCGCCAGCGTTTTGACTCGTAGATTGGCTCTGGTCATGCAATTGTGAGCCGGAGAGTTCCCCATTGGAAAGACTACGGAATCGCACCGCCTTTGAGATTGGTTAAGAAACAAATATGAGCAAGGGCAACATCATTCATCTCTTATCTAAGTATTGTAAATTGCGGAACACTCACCTTCTTGTTGATTGCAGACCGAGCGGTACTATTAGTTGAGGCAACCTTTGCTGATACTGTACGTTTCTTCAAGGCCGGTTTGATGCCATTAGGCGAAGCGCTTCTCTTTCTATCAGGGCGGTTTCGTTTGGCGAGCGCAGTCGACACTAGACTAGTTGAAGACTCCGGGGGGGCTGGGCTTTTTGATTGGGTCGAGTCATCACGATTCCCATCACCATCAGGATTAGCAATTACTGTGAATGTAGTGGAAGATACAGAAACCATGAAAAGGAGATAAGTGGTTATGTAGAGTCGAAACGGGATATCAAAAAGACCACATGGAATAAAAGAAACAAGAGTCGATTCTCGAATAACATACATTGAGGCTGCACCTCTCGCACCTTGTTTGCAACCTCGTCCTTGTTCGAGCCAGTTTTGATGGGAGTCATGGGGTGATTGATATGCATCCAATCGAGCATCAGTTGCTTGTTGACACCTGGCGCATCTGGGTCAAACATTTTGGGAACTTTGGGCATTTTTGCTGATCTAGGTAATGGTCAAAATCAATAACGCTGAATGATTAGAAAAAAAGATTGACAAACAAGTAAATCCTGGTCTGTATTTTGAACTTTTTTCTGATAGAAACGTGTAATGAGTCATGAGTTGTAAGTCATTCTCATTCTTCTATCAGAAAGAAATTGCCAGTTGACTCTAGAAGACAGCGAAAAAAGTCACCAAGCTTGGTGACTGGACGTTGTTATATATCTAGTTATTGGTGGAGTGTGGACCTCTAATTACTACAAACCGCCGATTGGCGGGTTTAGATACTGATCACAATCTAATAGCGCACAATTATATTTGACCATCCGATTGGGCCTGACGAAGGTAATTTAGATAAAGTCTTCTTTTCAACTGATCATCAGTATTGATCGTCAGGGTGTTCAGATGTTACCTCAAAACAATGCATCTGCACGGCATTAAGCAGAGTTTTCCAGAATGCCCGCTCTTCTCTTCCATTGGCACCAAGTCTGGGCGCCACACAGTCAAGCCAAAAACAAACCAATATCATGAATTATCTGACATATCCTTCTTGTAATTTTGTCCTTGACTTTGTCAACAAACTTATAATCTAGGAAATCTTTTCAGATCAAATAAATGTGGTAAAAAGACATTGGTGAATTACATGACTCGAGTCGTGAAGAATAGTTGAGGGATATATAAAGGTAAACCACCATAGACAAAGATCAGTCTCGACAAATTTTCAGGATTTTCTAGATATATATAATAGATTTTTAACTTATAAGAAGAGACCTTTCAAGAGTGAGAAAAACGGATAGTTGAATGAAGTTGATAAACTAAACATGTGAGACCTAGGACAAAAGCTCAATAAACCTCCACTAGTCAACACCGCTCAAGGTTCCGTATGATTATACTCAATCCCGTGTAAAACAATACAAGCTGAACACTGTTTAATCTGTCACAATAAATAAGTGAAACAGCAAGACAAAAAATGAATAGCGTTGAAGAAGGCATTTGAGGGAGTTGATTGATATTTTTCGAAAGTGAACCTAAGTTTCAAACTATGGAATCATATAATTAGAATAAATGACCGCCAAATTCCGAAAAGAAAACTTACCAATGATAAAGGCAATAGCTAGAGATTCAAAATCAAGCCTTTCCAGGTTGAGTGGAACCTTGTTCTTCGTCGAACGCTGAAGAAGGTTTTGGGGGAGCTGATTGATGTTTTTGCAAAATTTCCCTGAGTTTCAAAAGAACATGATAGTCAGAATATATATTATAAACACCAAGTAAGAAAACTTACGAATGATACTCTGTCAAGGCCCGAAGGAATGCAACATCATCAAGAGCACAATCAAATGCCTTTTGTTTTGATCTTAAGGCAGTCATTGCAATTCTGAGCTTATCGTCAAGCTCTTCGCGCTCTTTCTGTGAGACCTCGGATTGGCGTAATAAAAGCTGGATGTGTTCGATTGAACTCAGGCCTTCTTGGAGGTAGATGAGACTATCGTGGGCAGCATCTTCGGCATGAGAATGAGCGCCGTCAATTTCGGCAATCTCGTCTTGATTTAAAAACTTGAAGTCCTTGACGAATTTGATGAGACTTTCGCCCGCAATGCGGTACTTGCCAAAAGTCAGATATTCAAGAATAGAGCGGCTGAATCGTTCAGTGCGATTGAAATTGATATCAGCGCTTGAGTCGACAACTTTCGAAGATTCTTGAGGTGCAATCATGGGCCCTCTGAGGGGAATTTCGCAGTAGTTTAGATCGAGCTGGGATGGAATAACTAAGTTTCTGAGACGTCTGGCTACCATTTCGATGAATATCGTCCGAAGGAGCTCGCGATCTTCTTGCGCAGCTTGAGTAAATTGAAAATGAGGATGGAATGCGAGGATGACTTTGATGATTTCAGTGTTTGTAGCTTGACTTAGGAAGAGGTCATTATCGATCCGGGGTGAAGCGATATCTGGAATATAATTGAGAATAGAGGCAGGTAGGAAAACACGGGTCTGCATTTGACGGGACATGACTGTTGGATTGCGCTGATTTCAAAAAGACCAAACTTTTTCGAAAACGAGGCCCTACTTATAACTAAAGCAATCGATGGAAATTTCTATTTACACCTCTCTACACACACACACTTGTTCTATTTGGACTTTCAAAGTTGCATAAATTCAGCCGACATACCCACTTATGATCAACGGAGATAAGAACATAATGTATCTCTTGGTGACTCTAAGACAGCCACCACGTTGGGTCGGGCATCATACCTCTAAATGCGATAAATGCAGCCGTTTTGAATTGAATAATTACACTCAACTTGAGTGGTCTTCCGATCAAACCGGTCCATGATTGTATTTCTGTCTCATGCAGCCACAGGAATTTTTGGAGGTCAAAGATACATATCTGGAATGGTGAGATGAAGACACTATGGCATGATCTCCAACTTGGACCATTGAATTTTCTGGTGAAGAGAATAACACGGATATTCTGATCAGATACACTTTTGGGAACTCGCACAAGTAATGGAAACTGATAGAAGACTTCAGTTCAGATATGTAACAATGTCTAACTCGAGGTCATTCCATGAGAACACAGTATCTGAAATCAGAAACGGTGAAAAAGATAGCCACGAGCACATGATTATTTTCTCGTATGTGGATACGTCGGTATAGACTACACATAGAGACTACACAGTCTTAGATAGAAAGCATACAAGTACCACGATACAAAGATAAAAAAGAAATGATACCATCCACAAGAGTTCGAGTTTGAAATTGAAAGAAAATGAAAAGCTTTGATAGTGCACGCTGTATGTAAGTTTGAATCTTGCAAGACTTCATCACAACCTGGATAGAGAAGCTAACTGTGTGCACCAATTATTTTCTACAAGAGAGAAAAATCAGTTGATCAAGTTGCAGAGGCAGAGATTAAATAGAAATTGAAATTACAATTGATGTCCTCCTTTACGCTTACACATTCTTGCTGGAGCCCTCCGCCAACATGTCTTTGTTGATCCAATAGTGATAACCCGGGACTAGTTGTTCGTCGTCTGATTTTGGGGATTCTTCCAATATGAATGTTCGGTATAAGCAGATATAATTTGGTAGACGTAATACTGGTATATTCAAAAACAATTCAGGGTGGTAGGTTTGAAGAGCATGTCGGATCACTTGGATGCTGAGTTTCGGCACAAATTTTGAATGAACAGCGCGCGGTGTGTTTGTAAACTCGGATGGAGGAAGTGGAAGATTTGGATTTACGTAATGCTTATAAAGAACAAGTACTTCATCCTTGAGTGCGACTCTAGAGACTTTGACATGGGGGTTAAGCTTCTCGATAGTCTCTACAAGCATGGGGATTGTGGTTCTACGGTGAAGTGGATCATAATCGTTATTTGATCCATCTTCAGTGTCCATGGAGTCATTGGTGGTTGGTGGTGGTGTACAAAAGGGTAGTAACTTGGGCATAAGGTCTTTTTTGAACTTGTCAATCAAAATATCCTTCTTTTGAGCTGGCCGAGCGCTAGTTTCGGGATCGAAATGATGCATGATTTCGTAATATCTGAGCTTGGTAAGTTTGTAGGTTCTGTTTGTCTCCCAATCATAGGTCAAGAATGGTTGCAAGGCCGAAGGAAGTGATTGTACTTTAGTGTACAATGGATGCTTAGTGAGATCGGAGGCGTCAGAGGGATCAGAGGCCACATTTTGTTTGTTGGACTTGGGAGTTGGTGATGCTGCAGATTGTCGACGTCCCGGAAACGATCCTTTTGGTGAGGTGATCTCGCCTTGAGCTGATATTAAGTTCACGTTGGGCTTGCCCTGGGCCTCGTTACTTGCTGCTCCACTCAGCTTGAGCTTACTAGATCTGGTAGAAGATTGATGTGGTTTGCTTCCGTTCCCTGACATCTTAGATCGGAGGAAAATCTTGAAAAATCTGTTATATAACAAGTAATTTTGAAAACGTCCAGGAATTTAAGGTGATATAAGGTGCTAGTTCGACAAAGCTACAATCTGAATCAAGAAAACGATGAATAGACTTACTAATGTCTATACCTTATCGGCACCTCTGATCGGTAGATAAACGTAGTATAAGTAGCAGCTATCAGCTTGTAGACCGATGAGATAGTATGTTATAAGGGAGTATGTCAATCAGATGGGTAAAGCAATGTGAGTGAAAAACGACCAGAGAAACAATTCATGAGGGTGATTTTCAGGACTCTTGAGGTAGGTATTTATGACACTTGAGGCCATCTCAAGGCGTGAAAGGAGAATTTCGAGGAAATTCCTGTAGCGGGGATCACCTTTGTCTTATTTGGATTCATCAAAAGAGTGTCAATCTGATCCGCACTACAATATAAAGTGGCTTTCATCAGATTAAATTCGTTGCTTCGAATTTCATGACTCCATCTCCAAGTATGTAGGCAAGTTATCACAAAGGATGTGAAGGCAAAAGAGTCACAGATTGTTAAAATCATCCGAGCAACAAATCATTGAGCGGCAGCATGGCAACGGAAAAGATAATTCCTCTGATTTTTCTTTTCCCCTTGGAAAATATTAATTTTCGCGTAGTGTCTAGGGGTTTTCAGTTCCAGTGAAATTGGGGTACATGTTAGATTACTTTTGTGATGAATGGCACGTGTTGTGAATTTTAGTAAGCTGGGAAATCATTGTGATTATGTGTGATTTGTAATGGTTTTTGGTTATGTTTCATGATGTCACAAGCTGTTGACCAATTTTATCTGACTTATATAAGGGATAGGGTT